AGGTACGAATGTTCTAAACTCAGATTGTCGCTTTCGTTGTATGCGGCGGACCGGAAAATCGCCTATACACGCCTTTATTATGCGTGGTTGGATGGGACCCCGGTCCGACGCCTACGACTAGGCGGGCAATCACCTAAACTCTACTTTGACATTCGTGGCGCACCAAAAAACCGCCTATACACGCCTTTATTGTGCGTGGTGGGATGGGACCTCGGTGCGTCACCTACGATGAGGCGGGGTCACTCATAAGTACCTCCGAGCGGGTGAAAGCAAACTGTCTTTTAAACAGGTACCGTCAAAGACCCCATACATGCCTTTATTACGCGTGGTGGGAAGAAAGTTCACGGCTGTGCTGTCCTCGTTCGAGGACACCTACAATACACGCCTTTATTCCGCGTGGTGGGAAAGACCCAGCTTTCTCGTAGTTTTTCCCTAAACGGGGGAGACGCCGGGAGACCGCCGAAATTTCGCTGAAAACGAGATCGTATCTGGACTCATTTGAACTCAAAAAGACATTAATGAACTAAGTGCAAACTTGAATAAAAGGCTTAATTCAAACTCAAAACCAAACTTGGATAAATGATGAAGGACTTGTGTAAGACTTGAGTCGGACTCAAGCTGAACTTAACTCGAATTGAACTGAACAAAGATATGACTTGGACATTTAAACTCAAGCAAAGACTTGAGTTGGATTATAGTAGACATGGAACTTGAACTTGAACTAAAAGCAAGAACTTGTGAACATTGAATTTTAGTTGCGCAACATCAAGTAGAACTTGAATACATAAAGATTTGAAATTGAACTTCAGATTAGATATAAATATAATGAATAAAATTGAAGGAATCAAACTTGAGACATGTGCAAGGAACTTGAACTTGGGTTTGTACTAAGTGCACAAGGACTTGTGATAAAAGCAAAGTCATGCATACAAACTGTTTGCAAAATAATGATGCAAATCCTTCAAATAAATGTCAGCAGTCAAATGAAACAACTTACGCATGAAGAGATGAGTAATGAATGTTGTGGCATTCTAGCAATCAATGGAAATTCAATGTTAAGTAAATACATCAAATACTTGCAAGTGGCAATAGTGGAGGTGATCATAATAGAGGGTGTAATTGCAAATGAATGACAATGATACAAACTCACCATGCAAACTGCAATCCATTTTCAAAGATGCTCACTGTAACCCACATTCAAACAATGATGGTAAGAAAGTTGTAAGTATGGTGCACATGCAACGTTGCATATGATAGACTCCTAGCACTTGCAATGATCCCCACATATATTGAAATGCATATAATAGAATGTGGTAATTCTCGGATCAACACACATATGGAAGACCAAGAATGAATGCAACAACATCTTACAATCAATCACTACTCATTATCAAGCAAGCGCACTAGTCTTATGCAAGCAAAGAAGGATAGTACAAAGCGAATGTAAGTTCCTACTAGTAGCAGTAGGAGCTCCTCCATGCACATGATATGCCATCTACAAGAAGGATACAAGCAAGGATAAATATTTGCAGTACATACAAGCTCTCTATAAAGACAGATATACGTGCCACATGTGACTTATGGGTAGATGCAGAAAGACTTCAGTAAATGCAGTATCATGAAGTCAATTTCAGTCTGTGAAGGAATACATCTACCTTCCTACTTGTAACAGTGGCGGATGTACTGAAAAGACCAAAGACCATAACAAAATGCATGAAGAATACGACAAGTGCAAGCTTCTACGACCTAAAGAAAGAGATTAGTTAGTGCACAACAAGATACCTGCAGAAATCTATAAGTAGTGCACGACAGTCTACCTGTACAAAACAACAGACAATTCAATCCAGAAGCTGCTATGCCACGCCACCGGATCTGCAACCTTCGTACAAGCAGACAGAAGGCGCAACAAAGTCTCAAAATGCCCCACACGTGCACTATAGTTTGTATACACATAGGTACACAAATGGGTAAATATAATCAAACACCCGCATGGGCCCCGACGAGCGTGTTATTGGTACACACGTGACGTCTAGGGATGCTGCATGATCCTCCTAAGCAAGTAAATAGGTGTCAATAAGGTTCAATCAATAATTATAAAATGCCCCCAAACACCTGTAAGGGCCCTGACGAGCGTGTTATTGGTACACGTGACGTCTAGGGATGCTGCGCGGGTCGACAAGTGAATTCAAGTTCGAACTCGATCATTCTATACGGATTAATAGGAGTCGACATGGTTCGAACCATCAAACAAATATACGGTGGAGGCGACCGGTATATTTGTTTTAATATATTCATATTAAGCCTTCAAGGTCTATAACAATGAGAATTCACTAACAAGGGCACAAAGCCTACGAAACCCGATCCTCGATCATTAGTTTGGTCGAGTTGACAGGGTTCAATCAACAAAAGAGAAATGACCCCTAACACCCTGATGATAGCCGTATTGAATGCAGATCTCAACCGGAGGGGTTTCCAAATATTTTCAAATGTCTCATAAATATCCAAAAACCATTTCAAACAATTCAAAGCTCCATCCAAATACCCACAAAAATTCAAAAATCCAAGAAATCCAAAATCATTTCAAATTCCAAAGATATTTAAAATAAAAATCAATCCATCAAACACATAAAGCAAAATCCATCTACCCTCCGCAACAGTTTGCCGGGGTGGACAAATTCAAATACTACTTCAGCTCACAAAGAGCCAAATGCCCAGTCAAAAATATCACTAGGATCCATTCTCAAATTATCTCCTGCTAATAAGGACGTGGTACGTGTCCTCTAATCGGTAGTTTCGCCGCCAAATGGCATTGCAGGTAAACGGTTATGACCCGGGGCCCTCTGAACCGAGTGGTTTTGCCGCGAAATGGCACCACAGATACCGGTTATGGCCAGAGCCAAACGTTTCTTATTGACATCAAATTCTTGAGATATGAATCAATAGGATATGATCGATAGGGCACAAAGTACTCTGTTAGGTAAGGTGGATTCAAATATGTCCTCTTAGACAAATATCCATTCCTGGTCTACAAGGTACCATTGGACGAAGCAACCCATGGCTGCTGACAAGGATCCTTCTGTCAGGCTGGGTCGACTAACTCCTCTGACTAAGTAGACCAGGGACCATGATGGCCTGGGACGACGGAACCATGAGATCTTAATCGGGTCTATCATCCATTCCCCCACCATTCGCTTTAAATGCAAGATGGTGAAATTTTTAATTTTAAATATTAAAATTTTCAAATTCCAAACCCTTCAAATTCCACATCCAAACTCATGCTGCTACTATATGCCAGATAACACGTATTCTCTACGTATCTGATCGATGACTAGCCTTAATCGAAAGTTCTCACTCGTGATCGGGAGGGGTAATTAACTATAGGGGCTTGCGCCTATAAAAAACCAGAACTCAGATCATAAAGTCCTCATAAAATGAGGGCGAAATCTCTGGGTAGTGTCTTATCTACAAACCCATCTGCCTTTCAAAATTTACCCCAGAACTCATTTTGTTAAAACTCCCTCGCTCAAACAAAAAGTAAATAATCAGTGCGGCAGGGAGGCCGGGGCCGAATTTTCGGAGCCCACACTTCAGTAGTTGGAAGTTTGATGTATGCTATGATCTGCACAATATTTGATATAACATATGCAGTGGGAGTTGTTAGTAGATTTATGAGTAACCTATGCAAACTTCATTGGGAGGCAGTTAAGTTGATTCTCAGATACCTGAGAGGATCAATTGACAAAGTTCTTTGCTTTAGTGGTGCAGTGATTGATCTACAGGGTTATGTCGATTTTGATCATATTGGAGATCTTGATGGTTGGAGAAGCACAACAAGTAATATTTTCACTTTGAAAAAGACTGCAGTCAGTTGGATTTCCAAGTTACAGAAGATTGTTGCATTTTCAACCACATAAACAAAGTACATTAATATCACTAAGGCTAGCAAGGAGATGATTTGGTTGCAAAGTTTCTTGAAAGAATTTGGCAAGGGGCAAAGGAATGGGAAGCTGCATGGCGACAACATGAGTGCCATACATCTAGCCAAGAATGCTGCATTTCATGCCAGGATGAAGCACATCCAGCTTCGCTATCATTTCATTAGGTCGCTTCTGGAAGATGGCCAGCTACCTTTGGAGAAGATACACATTTCCTTCTCTAGTTTTCTTTTGTTTTTTCTTTCGTGCTTCTTCTTCTTCTTCTTCCTCACATAAACCCTTAACCAAAATCATAGAAGAATATAATAAATATATATGGTTTCTCAATAAAACTTAAAATTTTATTCTGAAATTTAAGAGGAAAGAAAAAATTCATACTTTTCTCTTGATTTCACCCAAAAAGCATTTGCTCAGTCTTCCAATTGCACTCTTGATTGCACCTTCCAATTCATACAATCCACCTTTCAATCTTCCTCTCAAAGCTAAGGCAACTTTGTCCATGTGAAGAACTGTCAAATATTGCTTCATACAACAACAACATACAGCCTTTATCTCACTACGTGGGGTCAACTATATGAATCATTTTTCTCCTTTGTGTCTTATTAAGAGTCAAATTCTCATTTAAATCTAATTAAAAAAGATCATTTCTAATATTTTCAATATAGGCCAAATCTAATACATCTACTCTCCTAATCGGATCATCGGAAAGTAGACGTTTGATTTCAACTATGGCTTCATCCCTGCCTAAAATTGTTTTTTCTCTTCTCTTGATCTAATTTTCTCTCTTTTTCTCATTCTTTCGCTGGACCGTGGCATCCCCTTCTTGCGTCTTTTGTCTAAGATGGAACCGGCTCATCAATTCCTTTGAATTAATACAGTCGGTTCAACATTATTATTATTAATTTATTTTATGAACTGAATTGTTATCAGGCAGGCTTTTCAAGTGCCTATCTTGCTTGCTGCTGTATGGTTTTATTTTGTGAATCTAATTCGCACACCTTTTTGGCTACCTTACTCTGTCGTAGCTGTACAAGCAACTGATCTTATTTTAACATTCTTGAGCAGATACTTCCAGTCATGCTTGATGTGGGGACCAACAACCAAAAGCTTCTTGAAGATAATCTTTGTGAGTAACATTTCTCTTGAAGATGTAGCATTTATGGCAAATGATCATACTGTTTTTTTGGAGATATCTTCTGAGTTTTACCTGCATCTATTTGTTACCAGAACTTTAATTATTCAAACTTAAAATTATAAAGCACATTCTTTCCCATCTTGATTACCACAAATACACAAATATTTTATTGCATGCATGTAATTGCGCTGTCTTGATTTTGGCTCACTACTATTCGTTTTCTTTTTATTATTTGATTTCGAAACACTAATCAAGAAAAGTGAAGTAGCCAGTACTTGCAGCAAAGTTGTTTGTTATTTCATTATGCAGCATAGAACTTTTTGGGGACTGGCCGGTTTACCATGCTCCTTGGTGATAGGGGAGGCAAACAAGCAGGCTAGCTTTGAGTTCAATTTATACAAGTGAAATGCCCAATGCTTTATTGTATTTATTGCCTTTTTAAATTGTCTTATCTATGAAGCTGTAGTGGTCATTACTCGTGAGATTAAGCACTAAAGTTGGTTGTTCATTCTCAAGTGTGAAGAGTGGCATTATGCTTCTCAGACTGAAGAACGCTATACCGGTTCTTATCATCCTGCCTAAGAAATTGCAGGACTTAGCTTACACTGCTAGAATTGTATTACTATACCAGGACTGAGATTTAGCATATCATGATTGCATTTTTTTTCCATTTGAATTGTCCTATCTAATGCTAGGTTTAGTTCAGCAACTGGTGTACTGAAGAGGTTTCTTTTTGAATGATTTTGCATAATTGACATGCGGAGGAAACTCAGGAAAGCTTAAGCTTCAAACAATGCATAAGCTTTATGTTTTTGTTATTTTATTCAAAGAAAGACTAGGTGTTAAATATCATAATGATATATCCTAGCCGTCCCTTGGCATTTTGATCCCACGGCTAGGATGGGAATCTATGGGAGGCTCACCTGGATTATGTCAATCTCCTTCCATATTTAGTTGGCTGATTTAGGAAGGATTATATTAGAACAATTATGCATGATTTTGTATGTGGGCTAGCCCATGCGCGAATGGACATTTTCGGCGCCGTTGCAGACTGCGGCACTGTAGCAAACGACGGGATTTTGCAGGATTCGCGGGATGGGCAGCCGGCTTCACAGGTATGATGTGGATTTTCTCTTCTTTTTTTTTTTTGTTCTGCCTTTGAAGTCAACATTGTAATTATTTATTTCTTTATTAAGTTTTATTGTATAAATCTATAAATAGAGATAGTTTTGTACAGTAAAATTAAGCCTTTTTCCTATCCGATTCTTTGAATTTAACATATAGTATAACTAATCACGGAATGCATGTCATGATAAGGTTTGCTAAGTAAACATTTGCATGAAATTGACTAGATGTACCGGGCCATTTATCAAATCGTGGTTTGGCATTCATTCCATCTAAACACTGCATTTCCATCATAAATTTTGTTTTTCTATAAGCAAATAAAGAGCATCTAACTCTATGAAGTACTTCATACCTTAAAAAAGAAAAGGAATAAGTTGAGTCTAGGAAGTAATTCTTGCTGTAAAAAGAGAAGGAATAAGTGTATGACTGTACGAGATCACCATGTATTTTCATATGATGTAGTTGCTTTTGACAGTTAATTGTGATTACAAACAACCACTCGCCCTCCCAATACACGCTTCATTTATTCCCAACTACTAACTATTTTCTAGCCAAGTCTTTTTAGGTCTACCTCTACCTTTCTTAACATAACCAAATCTAAAACATCTATTTTCCTAACCGGTCATCAAAAGGTCGTCGTTTTATGTGACCAAACCATCTAAGGCGACTCTCTTTAATCTTATCTTCCACTGGAGCTACTCCAACCTTTTCACGTATATGCTCATTTCATATCCTATCTCTTAGAGTAAAGCCACTCATCCTCCCGAGCATCCTCATCTCTGCAACACTTAACTTAATATTATGCTTCTCTTTTAATGGCTAACATTCTACACCATAAAGCATTGCTGTTTTAACCATCATCTTATAGATTTTTCCCTTAAGTTTGAGGGGCACTTAAGGGCGAGTGTGGGGTTATCATCAATCCCCTCACCTCCTCTCCCTCCCTTGTTATCACCGCTCCCCTTCCCCTTTATTTGAAATGTTTTTTTGATACTTTTAAAGGTCACATGATGATTCATGTGCTTATGCATTTGAAGGATCAAATACAATATAATAAAGAAAAACAAAAGAACCAAAATTTAGGGTTGTGAAAAAAAAAAGACCAAAATAATCTATTAAAAAAGTGTATGGACCAGATTTTATTTTACCTCTCTCTTTAGGTGTTCATTTTTCACAGCATGCGGGAATGATTTCTACTATATGACAGCACAATGAATTTCATGCTTGAACAATAACATTCAGTTTTTGTCGATATGTTTTCATAGATTTAGGATTACGGCAGCCCAGGCTTGAGGGAGATGAATATTTATCTATTGTTGATGAGTTCATGGAAGCTGCATATTCACGCTGGCCAAAGGCGATTGTACAGGTTTTTTTTCTTTTTTTCATGCAACGGCTGCAGTTTAGGATCAATTGATTAAGATCATGCTTGCTTGTTTTTCAATAAATTCCAGTTTGAAGACTTCCAGATGAAATGGGCATTCGAAACTCTTGAGCGTTATCGTAGAAAATTTTGCATGTTCAATGATGATGTGCAGGTTATTTTTTCTCCCTTTGTCATTTTTCCATTTATGGCATGATTGCAGTGATGCTAGATTGTTATTTCCAATGTGTCAAGTCTATTTATCATCACATATTCTTAAGTTAACAGGGAACTGCTGGTGTTGCTTTAGCTGGCCTACTAGGAGCTGTAAGGGCACAAGGTCGTTCTCTCAAGGACTTCGTAAAGCAGAAGATTGTTGTGGCAGGAGCTGGAAGGTACTTCACAGTCTCCATGATGTGTTTTCATAGCAAGCGGTGTATAAAGTTTGTGAAAGTTCATGTAGATATGACTGCCAGTCATTCAAGCACAGTTTTCATGAGAGCTTTTCCAAATGTTCAGTGCAGGGATCGGAGTACTTAAAATGGCCAAGCAGGCTATGGAGAGAATGCTTGGAAGCAATGCAAGTCTAGAAGCAAACAACCAATTTTGGGTGCTTGATAAATATGTATGCCCAGCTTAGTGCTTTATCAGTCTTCAGTGTCATATTTCCATAAGTATATAAGTAACTATATTTCAAATTATTTAGTATTATGAGTTATATGTTTCTTCTTATGGGCATATATTTTTCAAAATCTATGAATGATTGAGAGAGAAAACTAGTTTGAGTCATCTATATATTTTCTTAGACAAAATTATTCAAATCCATTTTAATGCAAGTAATTGAGCTCGGAACATTGGCTGGTTTATCGTGAAATATATCTTTTCCACTGTTCATGCCGTTTTACTGATGGCTTCTTGGCAGCTTTGATGGCATTTGATTGAATGGATTTTATATAGATCAAATATAGAAACCTGAAACTATCATGTGATATCTTTCTTCTTTTAGTGCTGAAATGTAGGAAATTGATAGGAAACACTTGGATTTCCAAGTGTTTCTCACCAAAACCAAGTAGATCCAATGTAAAACTGCTGTCCACAGCAGAAATCCGCCAAGAAACAGTGGAAAAATAGCAAATCGGGGAGAAAACCGTGGAGAAAAGACTTGTATTTTTACTAATAGATGAAACAGAATACAAAGATACAATTGATCCTCAATCCGAGAGGAGGATCGATCTCTCCCAAATCTCTAGACGCCGCTAGAGCCCAAAGAAAACCTAAATCTACGAGATCTCAAATTTCAGCCAAATTCAAGATGTCCAAACCCTAGGAAAAACAACTATTTAATGCATACAAATCAAAAGGAAATCCCTAAACAGCCCCTACATTCAAATTTCTTTCTGAAACCCCCCAAAAATCCTTCCTAAAACGCTCTGTTTGAGCAGTCGGCCCGCTCATTCTCCGCCAAAGGCGGAATCCCCGCCTGTTCGCGATTTCCGTCCGTGAACCGGTCCCGCCTGGACCGACTGGACCGGTCCAGTGGACCAGTCTAACAGAAATTTTTTTTTTCCGTAGGAAGCCATGGGCTATTGGGCTTCAACTATTTCTACCTTAATTCTGTAGCTTGATCACACCGGAATTATTATGAAAAATCACAACCTTGTTTGAAGTATGGAGATTCTTATCATAGTAGGGCTTAAGATTAATTGATTTGAAAATATTACATGCCTTAGATGTGTTGGATAAGAAAATTTTGTGTGAATAATGTTTTAATCACTGATTTCTGCAGGGTCTTATCACAAAAGAAAGGAAGAACATTGATCCTGCTGCTGTTTCTTTTGCCAGAGGCTTTGGTCTAGGTGAGGTTGAGGGACTCAATGAAGGGGCTAGTCTCGTGGAAGTGGTAAGGAATAGCTTGGAAATAATCTCTCCTGAACACATGTATTGAATACATAATAACTGTTGAAATTATTGAAGTTTCTTCACTATTAAAAACTTTCTGAGTCACCTAAACTACTTTTACAGTTAAAACTGTCTGAGTCACCTAAGCTATTTTGACAGTCTCAGTTTAATATCTACCACTTATTGAATAATTCTCTCAGATGAACGTCTCATGTTTTTTTTTTGCTCCATCTGCATCAGGTTAAAAAGGTGAAACCTGACGTCCTATTAGGATTGTCCGGAGTTGGGGGCATATTTAGTGAGGAGGTATGTCGACACTTGTAATCATCAATTGCATTATATTTGTGATTTGTGGGTATAAAATTGAATATTTTTTCTTCTATTCAAGCAGTACATTATTCCTTACACATATCCAACAAGAAACGGTTTATTAATAATCCAACTACAAGACCATTCTGTACCAATCAATTACTTCTCTTTTATGAAACAGTTAATGTCTTTTATTTGGTTGAAATGATGGCTCAACCATAAGCTTTCATATGAATTTGACGCAGGATGATTCACGGTTAGAGTTTTATAATACAAGTAGTTATAATTTCTTGTGAAGAAAAAATAAAAACTTGCTGATCACAAGTTGCCATTAAGTCAACAACTTGCTTTCTTTAAGCATAACCAAACAATGTTATATTTAAAAAATTATTAATATTAAAATGATTAAAATAATTTGAGAATTTCAGAAAACATAAAAAGTCAACGAGCAAATTGAATTTAATTTTCACAAGTTAGATTTTTTACTCATAATTTTTTGATCGAAATTAATAGCACCAAACAAATCGATATTAAATAATGTGTATGAAATGGGACAAGTGTCTAAAATACACGTAAGAAAAATTGTGGCTAATGTTTGTATGAGTAGATAATTTTTCTCATAATACTTCTACCCTGCTTGGAAGAAACATTCATCTAACTAGCACTTATAATATTCAAATTTCTCAATTACATGCTTCAAAATGCCTGTATAGATTTATAATCCGATATGGCAAATAAAGTTGGTATGAGATTAATCTCAATTGAAGTTTAAATTAATTCCAAATGATAAAAAAATCCAATTTAATTTTAATTTTCTTAATTAGCCTATCAACAGCAGGCACAAGTCCTTCCTATGCAAATTACGCCTTTCCTATGAGCGGTAAAACCACATTTTACAAAGGCTTAGTGGATGCTAAGGATTCACCTGCAGGGATGGGAAACCGTAGGATACACCAAGCCCACAATATGCGGTAATTTTAAATCCAGAATTCTCATATAAATCCAAAACTCCTCCATAAGCCATGTATGGAAGTGACAAGCCTCCACCCCTTTAGGTAGCAAGAGATAAATCTAAATAGCCCTTAATTTGAAGTTCACTTATGGAGCCATCATAAGCCAAATTCCAACCCTGCCATCAAAACCTGATGTCTCCAACTTTGAATATCTCATTTTAGAAACTAACATAATCGTGATCAAGATTGAAATCATGCCAACTATATAAATCAACCTAAAGTTAGGAATAAATTCAACCATTTATTGGCCATCACCATAGGCATGGTTTGGATACAAAAATATCAAATAAATGAGCCAACTAATGAAAAGGAAATAAATAAGCTACATTGAAATTGCTGCTTGATGTGATGCTTCAAATATATATTTTTTAACATAGAGCTCATAGCTGGTTTTCTTCGCTGGATGGTTTTTAATTTTTTCTGATTGAGTTGATAAACTGCCATAAAAATTAATCTGACAGGTCCTCAAGGCTCTGCAAGCTTCTGATTCACCTCGGCCTGCAATATTTGCAATGTCAAATCCTACCGCAAATGGTAATCTTTCCTCGTGCCTGCAAAAATATGTAAAAATTCAGAAGTGGTTTCAATGACTGAATAATAACATTTTGCTTCTCTATTTAATATACCAGCTGAATGCACACCAGCTGATGCATTCAAATATGCCGGAGAGAACATAATTTTTGCTAGTGGGAGCCCTTTTGAAAATGTTAATCTAGGTTAGCCATCTCTCTCATTTCATATACCATTTAATGTCATTGAGTGTCTCATTTAATGAGGATTTATCGGCAGGTAATGGAAAAGTAGGGTATGTGAACCAAGCAAATAACATGTATTTGTTTCCTGGGTATGTAGTGGCCTGTCTGGTAAACTGTATGGAATAGAAATGGATATGCGTCTGCTGATAAATTGCTTCATATTAACTTCAGAATTGGTTTAGGAGCACTTCTTTCTGGTGCTCGCCTTATTTCAGATGGCATGCTTCAAGCTGCAGCTGAATGGTAAGTCATGATCCTTTACTTATTCAGAATGCAAGTTATGCCTAAATGCTACCTAATCTTGTCTAGTGCTTAGGCTTCGTTTGGGACGTCTTTCTTTATGCTTCTTAAAGCAGCTTTCTAATACAAAACTTTTTAATTTTGTATTAAAAAAACTGTTTTAAGAAGTAGAAAGAAAGCCGTCCCAAATGAAGCCTTAGTAAAACATCACGTGACAACTGAGCTAGTTAATGAGCATGTTAAATTATCAGTGCCATTTTTATTGTGCTCCTTTGCAATGGTAGTCCAGCACAGATTATCAGAGTATGGGACTAATGGGTAATGCATGAACTGTGAAGTCAAGGAAAAAAAATCTTTCATTATGTGACTACACTAGAATTCTGGTTATCTTAAAGATGATCTTAGTGTAGTTTCCATTCGAATCAGTTTCTTTGCATCCGTTAAGACTTCTAACGTGGTTTAGTTGCAACCAGCCTGGCTTCGTACATGACGGAAGACGAGATTCAGAAAGGCATTCTTTTCCCTTCCATTTCAAGGTAATAAGAGCGCTTGATGAGGCAAATTTTTTGATGATTTATTTCACTCTCGTTTGATATTTCATTGCATTTTATTTTTGTTTATTTAGAAATATTGATGGGAGTCTTCTGTTTGAACACACATGTATAGCCTTGTATCCATGAACACTTAATAACTCTGGTGTTGCTAGTACTGATCCGCTTTAGATCACCGGGAAAATAGATCTACTATTTGATGGAACAAGGTTGGAAATGGACACATGCTTCATAATTGTTAAGGGGGTTTCTGATGCCAATCTTCCATCCTTTTAAAAGGAAAATACAGTTTTGTTCCATGTTTATTGTTCTTCTATCTTATAAATTGCCATATATTTCTTCTGTTTTGCTAATCCTGTATCACTCTATCTTGGTGGGATGTAAGAGATTTGGGTCAGGAGACCAATCAAAACAATGAAGTTGAAGGACAAAAGCTCAGAATAGAGGGAAATATGGTTTTGTAGGGCAAATAATGAGTTTGAGTTAAATAATCCATGACCCAAAGGCTGGAGAAGGTTGTTTATTCAAGATCACAAGTTAGAATAATCCATAACCCAAAGGCTAGAAAAAATTTGTATTGCACCCCTTCTGAAAGCAAATCTATTAATTTTCAAATCCATCCTGATAACAAATTATATTAGAATATCTAGAGTAAAATTTTTTTCCAAAATCTTAGCATGCGTTCTTAACACATTTTTCTTGTGTAACACCAATGCCAGCACCAACATCCTCACTACATAAGAAAAATATCAGCTTATTTGAACTCAATAAGCTCCAGTAAAAGAGTAACCCAACACATCCAAAGATCCAACAACAGGAGCATCAAGCCTTCGTCCCACTACGTGAGGTCGGCTATATGAATTCTTTTTCGCCATTATGTCCTATTAAAAGTCAAATTCTTATTTAAATATTAAAATACTTGTTCCGTTGCCGGGACTTGGACCCGGGTCTCTCGGGTGTATCCTAACTAAATCCTAACTAACTAGACGACAACGGAAAACATCCAAAGATCCAACAAAATAAATCCCTGATTAAAAGTGAAGTGAGCCGAGTATTCTTTGGTTCCCTTTTCCAATTTATGTTTTATTGTAACATATGGGCATATTGCTTGATAATATTGTTTATCACAGTATTAGGCACATTACAACGCACGTTGGAGCAGCTGTTGTACGTGCTGCTGTTGCTGAAGAACTGGCTGAAGGCTGCGGTGATGTTGGCATCAAAGAACTAAAGAACATGTCAAAGGTATTTATTTTAAGACTCTGTTGGTTTCTATCAGGTTCAAATCTCTTAATCTTTCTTCTTATTATACCTTCTAAATTATTTTTCTTTCAGGAGGAGACCGAGGAGTATGTTGCTCGTAATATGTGGTACCCAATCTACAGTCCTCTTGTTCATGAGAAATGAAGTTCATATTTCCCACAAGAAAAATCATAATTTTTCATCATGGTTAGGTTATTCTTAGAAAACTATTTATTCGGATATCATTGGAAGAGTTATAGCGTGTCCACTGACATCCTTAGTATGTTTTAACAGTGTTAACAACGATAAAACTGTCATATTTATTCATTTGGCTTTTTTTTTTTTTCCGACGGTGAGGAGAAATCATTAGGTGCGGACAACAGATAGAGAGAATCGTCCGATTTTTTCTGTCTATAGGGAAAGCATAGTCAATGGACAGTCGAAGCGTAGTTACTGTAACTGTTATGTTTTGACTGTACTTTCACTATAGACAGAGAAAACCAGACGGTTCTCTTCGTCTGGTGTTCGCACCTAATAAATTGTCGATAGTGAGAGCTCCTGACCTGAAATATGTTACAGTGAGATTATTATTTATATGATTGCAGCTGCATGTCTTCTATTCGATTGAAGGAATTTGAATTTTTTGGAACGGCTTTCTCACTAGTTTTAAAGTAGCTTTTTAATATAAAAATTAAAATTTTTATGCTAAAATGTTATTTTAAAAAGCAAGAAGAAAGCCATCCCAAACGAAGCCAAAATCTCAATAATTTGTTTAATTTATCTATCTATCAATCATTAATCATTTTAGCTGTGGGGTTCAATGATCTTTTATCTAACTTATGTGGTTGCCTAACTTTATAAAAAAAAACTTGGTGGTGTTGATTAATTTGGTGTTGGTGGCCATGGTAGATATTAGCCTTGTTGTGCAGGGCAAATTATTATGTGCGGAATTTGGATGCATCACGTCATTTTAAATTCGGTGCATTCGAGTGATGTGGCGCGTCCGGATTTGCCTCTGGACGGTCCGGACATCAGACATAATAATTTGTGCAGGGTCAATTTTTGGTTTTTGGGTGTGGTACAATTTAATCATTTTGATTTGAAATTAAAATATTTTATCAGATGATTTGTATTAATATATTTTGATTAATTTTTTTTTTCAGATATTTTGGTGTCTTAGTGTGTTAGAGTTTAATAATTTTAGGTTATTTTATTATAATTAAATTTATTAAAAATGAAGTTCAATGATTCCGAAATTAATTTTAGAAAATTTTTATTTGGAAATCAATGCTTTGAGATTTGGATGTAACACCATGCAATGAGATATATATTTATATATATACATTCATTGGATCTTGAAAATTTAAACAATTCTCTTAATTTTTATGTGTGTTTGAAAGTTCTGCTTTTGCTAAACAAGGTTATTAATAACTCCATTTTGAGTCAAAATTCTAGCTTCTTTTGGAACATTTTTTTTATTGCTTTTTAAAGTAATTTTTTAGTACAAAAAATTTTTAGCTTAAAAAAATTACTTTAGAAAGCAATAAAAAACAGTCTCAAGCGAACACTCTAAAGCTTCGTTTGGGAAGGCATTCTCATTGCTTTTTAAAGTAGTTTTTTTAGCACAAAAATTTAAATTTTTATATTATAAAAATGTTTTAAAAATCATCAATAAAATTGTCCCAAACGAAGCCTAAAGTTTTTTGACAATTGCTTTTATAGCGCGTTTCACTTTCGATTAAAGCTAAAAGCCTGAAATACATATATCCACATCGCAAGTTCGAGTAAAATGTGTATTTGGTCACTCGCAACTCGTGTCCAAGTTGTCTTCTGCAAGGTGAATTGTTACGTCCGGTCACTGGATGTCCGGACACTCAATCTAGACGCCCCACGTCACCCAAATATACTGGTTCCCGGTGTATTTTGGTAACGTGGCGCGTCTGGATTATCCGGACACCCAATCTAGACGCCCCACGTCAGCCGAATATACTGGGTCCCGGTGTATTTTGGCAACGTAGCTCGTCTGGATTGATGTCCGGACAAATCGAATTGGAAGTTCGGACGTCTGATGACCGGATGTAATAATTCGCTCTTATGAACAGCTCGACTAATTCAAGAAAAAAAAAGAGCCCTTTGCAATTCATATCGTCGTCTTTCTACGCAACACGCCCTGTGCCTCCAGAAAGTTATTGTCCAGGAGTAGATCCATGCAACGATCGATAAGAAAAGATACCTTGGCTGTAGAGAGACTCCTACGAGATGACTCCAACTCCATGGATTGGTGAAGCCGCTCAATGGCCTGCCAAGCAATACTTAGTATCCATAATGTCGGGGATGAGTGAGAAAAACATCGCGATGAAACAAACAATAGAGTTAAAGCAGCGGAAAGTAAATGACATCAAAATTTAACATGGAAAAACCTAAATTAGAGAAAAATATCACGGAGTCAGCCCGCACCAAGAAATCTACTATGAAAATTGAGAGAAATAAGTACAATCTCTCTTCTCTCTCACTGCTAATTGTTTTTCTTATCACATACACCATTCTCAATGTTGACACCGAGAAAATATAAGAGAAAACAAGTTACATCTACCAAGGGGTGCAACCCTTGAGAAACTAGAAAGAAAACTGTGCGCTCAGTCTGTCTCACAGAGTTCGTCTCGCAGCACTACAACGCTCAAGCCTCTGTCAGATGATGCTGACGCACTTAAACTCGCAGCATTGCAGTGTCGAATTTAAAGAGCTGTGGCGCTCGATCTGTTCTGCGTCGATCAACATTGAGGCGCTCAAGAAAGTAGCTCCACGCATTGTAGAAAAAAATAAAAAATAAAGTGCAAAGATTTGCGGGATCAGCGGTTCAACCAGTTAAACCAGCGAACTGGTCGGTGCCTATTTTCAAAAACCACTTCGGCTAATATTTAATAAATTTATTATGAAATATTTACGTCAAAAATCAATTTAAAATTTATATATTTTAATTAAACAAGTGTAAAAAAAATGCTTTATAATATGCAACGGCGGACAAGGGGGGCCTAGGGGTCACGTGCCTCTTTATGCTCTAAATACTCTATTGAAGGTGCAATGAAAATATTAATGCTTATCTAGACCGCACAACTTAGGATTCGTTTGGGACGACGGTTCTCTAATCCTGTGATTTATACCAAGCAATACCTAGCAATACCGAGCAATACCTAGCAAAACCGGGGTATTGCTCGGTATTTCCTTGATATTGCTCGGTATTGCCTTGGTATTGCTCGGTATTGCTAGGTATTGGTATTGACAGAATGTTATTTCTCATTACCGAGTAATACCAAGCAAAACCTAATAATACACTGGTCTGTACAAATCAACTAATACATAGCAATATCGGGTTCCGGTTCAAGTCGGGTCGTCGGGCCGCACGGTAAAGAATAAGAACACGTGACGACATTTTATTGGCATCCGGATATAGAGCTACGTCAGATTCCGATGTCTGGACCTAATAAAAATTCCCATCTAACCCTACAGAAATATATCCTTAATAACCCACTGACCTCGCACACTTCGTCTTATGCTATAAGCTGTCCCTACGAATACAAGCCAAGTCTCTATAGTTCTTCCACTCTTTTACTTCATCTCCAGCTAGCCTTTAAGCAGAAGGCGATCCTCCCTCTCACTACAGAAAAACTTGGGATTACTGTCAGAGCTTCCGGCCGATATATACACGCCGGTAACGACGGCGTTTTAACCGGCGTCGTATACGACGGAGTTTCCAACGGAGTTACTGTATTCTATCCGCCAATAATAAAGGGTTTTACTGTAGTGTCTCTAATTTCTTACTTTCTCAAAAGCAGTTAGTCAAATTAACCGATCTACTTCTCCTCGCACCTAATCTCTTTTCTGACCGGCCGATCTCTGCACACGGAAATATTCTTAAGAGTAGTTGAAAGTCTTTTTCATGCTACGTAAATCCTTTTGATTTGAGACTATTAACTTAAGCTTTTTCAATAAGTTTTTTTCTTTTCATTTTAAGTTCTTGTCATTCATGCTCAGTCCAAGTCTACAGGTCAACATCGACCATTTCCCTCTCAAACTATGAATCAAATTGTCAAGAAAGGGAGGGGAAGCAACCATTCAAAAGTTTTTCGTTATTATTCTCTGTTCATTCTATTTTCTATCCTAACTTGTAAAAAAAACTTCTATGTAGACTTAGACTTTGTTGCAGTATCCATAATTCACCATGAAAAAGTCTTTCATTTAGCTTTTTGTTAAATTGAAGAGACCATGCCAGTCATTAGAAATTCTAATAAGCAGACCCCATGCCACACACGTACGAGCGCAAGAAATAATTTTTTTAAAGAATCTGGTTGGAATATTATTCTTTGTTCATTCAATTTTTTTCCTGTAGAATGTGTATTATATCTTTAGGATATTCCAAGTCAAAATTTGAAAAAATAACGGTCAAATAAGAAGTTCATATATATAAGGCTAGCTAGCTAGCTAGCTATGCAGAAGATCAAATGAAATTGGATGGAAAAAAAATTAGTTCTTATAACTTAGCAGTAATGCTTACCAGCTATCATATTAAGCTGCTCGCTCTGCTCCTTCTGCTGAATAGCTCAATGGCTGCTCGAGCAGTCGAAGACCGCTTTGCTTATCAGAGTTTGGAGAGTTTAGGGAGAAAAGAGCCTCCCCCTCCTCCTCCTCTAACTGGTGTGCCTATTTCTCCAACTTTGAGCCTGAATCCAAACCTTATCAATTTCTCTCCTTGATCAGGTGCAGTTAAAACTTTTCTTAAAAAGAGGAAAACTTCATGAAAATTTGCTTTGGAGGTTAAGTATTAAACTTGAATCTTATTATTTGAAGGGTGTGTCTAATTTATATCTCTTTTAGATGATTTTGAATGGTAAAAAATTGGTATCTTAGATTAACTTATTAATTTATATTAAATTAGTGAGCTATATAACATTAATTAGTGATGTATTAGCGACCTACTTTAAGTTTATTAAACTCTTGTGAGGCTAAGAGTTTAGACATCTTTTTTTTTAAGAATGTTATGATTTTTTTTGGAGCACATGAATTCACCAAAACTTTTTATTATTTTTTTTATTAAAGTTTGTTAGATCTTTACTCGATCACTGTAATTTATTATGAAAGAAGATAGTAAATCCACGGAGGCCATAAAAGACTTTGATCGGCACACAAGATAGTTATACTATATTTCTTTGATAATCATAATTTATTATGAAGAGACCGAATTAATTCACCATGAATCGATAGAATTCTTTTTTGAGATGTAATATAAATTCATATAACAATATATTACTTTGGATTATATATGAAGATTA